TTTTATATTCAGTCATTATGCTGTGAAGTATGCGTGCATGTTTCTGCTACTTCAGAACAGCTAACAATTTTTTCACTCTTGCATTTTCTGCACTAGTGGCCTTTAAGCTATCCAGAAGGAAGACTGATGATACCTTCAAATTTCTCCATACAATTCTCTTTGGAAGGAGAGGGAAGGTATGTCTTCATTAATTATTTGTGTTTTTTGTTACAGTTGTTACACCGCCTCTATTTTTATTTTCTATTATGTTTTATGCGACATCTATAGTTCAGGATATAGAATGGTGATTGCCTCGATTGTAGAAAGTTAAAAAAATTAAAACTTACCCGAGTTAGAAAAGTTACACTAATGGTATTATACATGACTCTGGTATTTTACCCTTTTGCAGGCAATTCAGATCAAGAGTAATATATCAAGGTTTTCTGGTTTTGTTTGGCATGACAATGAGGTAATTATTAGTTTTCATAATATGAAAATTGGTTCTCATAACATGCAACTGTAGCATATATTATAATTGTAGGTTTTGTGGGTGGTAACTTCTTTCACTGATTTCATGCTTTTCTGTTTGAAGTTCTTTTTCTGTCAAAGGTTCTGAAGTCCAAAAATTGTTACTGCAGGAAAAGCAAATGATTAAAGTAAAAGAAAAACTTGACAAATGTAATAAGGAGAGGTTACTGGAATTCTGTGATGTGCTTGACATAACAGTTAACAGGGCAACAATGAGGAAGGTGATAGGGATAAGAATAAGAAAGGATGGGTAGTTTATGAGAGGAGGAATAGGAGGAAATGAATATAACAAACTAACAGTTAGGACAGTTGTGGTGAGATTGTAAGATTGTATAAATAGCGGCTGAGTAGAAGGGATTGGGGGATTTTGATTACTTAGTGCTTACGGGTTTATACCTGTGGAAGAGGGTTATGCCTCTGCATTGGATTGTACAGATACTATACTGGTGAATAACATTCAGACTTCCCTTTCTTTCTGTGTTTCTTGGGGAGGAATTGAGTCTTGAACGTAGGTTCCCAATTTTGGAACCTAACAGAAGGTGTGTTTGTTAAGCCTTATTGATACATTTTTTACTAATACCATTCGACACTGCCCTATCATTGCTTATAAATTTCTATCGATGCAGGAAGATATCATTGCTAAGCTGATAGACTTTTTAGTTGCCCCTCATGTAACTTCAACTGTGTTGCTTGCCGAAAAGGAGAAGGTTTTCTTTGTTTTGTTTATCAATTTTTTTACTATTATGTTGTGGTAATTTCTTTTTACCTAGGCAACCATATTCTGGTCATGGTATTTATTCCTACTATTTATGATTAATTTATCATCAGCCCAGTAAAGGAAAAAAGCGCAAGCGTATTGTAAAACGGGGTTCATCAAGATCTGGGAGAATTTCAAGACGTTCTGCCAAGGTAATATTTCACTCGGTTTACTGCAGGAATGAACTATAAATTTTGCGTTCCAAAGTCAAGTCTTGCAGTGGAATGAATATCAATGCTGCATTCCTTTGGACTAACATGTTTATTTCCCTTTTGCTTCCTTTGCACTCTGCATTGCTACCCTTACTACAACAGAATTGTTCTTGACCAATTGAATGACAAGCTGTTCTCATCCCTTGACAATAGGGGGGTTAGTTTGATTCACTAAATAACAGCTTAAAAACAGTTTTTTTTTTTTTTGGGTTGTACCAACCTACACTTGAGTGGATCTGAAGGTTCTACTCAAATTCCACGGACAGTAAACACTGGTGTGAGTTCATACAATCCTATTATTAATATACTCACAGTTTTGACTACACTGTTCTTAGGTTCAAATCTGTGTTGCTATTATAGCCCTCCAAAAAATAGCTTGTGTTGGGATATGCTGTGGTAACTAGTACTTTTTTTTGTTGGTATGATTTGTGTCAGTACTTTGTACTAGATAGCATTTCATGTTAATCTAATCCCATATTTCTTCAAAATATAGTGTCAACATTTGTTTTATTAAACTTTTTGTCATGTCTTCTTTAGAGTCGGAGGAAAAATGAAGATTCTTTAGCTGTGCAGAGAAAGAGTGCTTCTGACACAGAAGATGAGTCAGATGAAGAAAATGAGGAAAATGAGGAAAATGAAAATGGTGTTGCTGACAAACCTGAGGATGAAACATCAGAGAAATTTGAAAGTGAAGACAAAAGTGATTCTGGGAGTGAATCTGAAGATATGAAAGGAAAGAAAAAACCTTCTAAAGCATCATCCGCCAAGAAAGAATCTGCTAAGAGAAGTAAAATTGAGAAAATTCCAGTTGCCAACAAATCTCACACACCACCAAAAAGAACACCAAAGAAATCATCATCTAACCTCTCAAAGTCTGATGAGGATAGTGATGAAAGTCCAAAGGTTTCAAGGAAGAAGAAAAATGAGAAAGGAGGAAAGCAGAAGACATCGACGCCCACTAAGCCTTCCTCCATAGAGAAAACAGGTAGATTATCATCTGAAAATGTTCTGATTTGAATGCCTTTTGTGTTATAATAAAAAGTAATTTTTAGCTTTAACTATATAGTCAGGTATTTCTAGTCAGTTCATTTATTTTTCCATTTCGACTAGTTTAAATGTGAATTAAAAAAAATGATAATGACTTTGGTGTCATCATATTCTTCCCATTTACATTGTAAAACATATTTCTTTTGTATCAAGCAGAAAAGGTTACTAGAGGAAGAGACAAGAAGAAGGAGAAATCGAGCCCCACTGATAATCAGTTACATGATGCAATATGTGAAATTCTTAAAGAAGTTGACTTCAATACGGTAAGATATTTAAATAAATTGCAAATAGTTCAGTGACTATATTTTTTATGTATAATGCATGGCTAAAGATGCAATCTTGTATAAAATTGAATGTCAGGCAAAGAAAGCTGGCAATAAAATAATCTCAAATATAGAAAAGATAAGAATGTCGGTGGACATATTAATGTAGCGGAGAAAAGGTTGGGTTAGCACCTATTGTAGAAAAGATGGTAGAAACTTGCATTAGGAGTTTTGTGCATGTGGGGAGAAGACTTGTAGAAGCTCCAATAAAGAGAGTGGATTAGATGGGGGATTTTCAAATTGTTAGGAGGGGTAGAGGATCAAGAGAAGTTATAGGTGAAATGATCAAGAAGGACTTAGAAGTCAATATATTTTTTATAAACATGATTTATACAAGAAGAGAATCGTTTGATCTATGTGAGTAACCCCAGCTAGCTGCAAAAGGCCTTGTTGTTTGTAAATACATACATAAACCACATCAAAACTATGGGCTTATTGTTTTACTTCAGAATGTATCTTTCTTGTCTGAGATACTCTCATTCTCCTTGAAACCTTGACAAAAATCCTAAGCTACGATATCTTTGCCTTTTCTCTGTCACTGCTACTAGACCAATTAAGATATATACTTACCTTTCCTCCAATTTATGGATAGATTTGGCATGACCTAGTAGTAGTTGATACTTTTGATTGGCATAATCTGTCAAGTCACCTAGATGGATGATTAAAAGTGTGCATTATACGCTTGGCAGGACGGAATGTGGCAGCATTTCATGTCCTTTGTATTGCAAGTGGAATTTGAAGAATTCTTAGATGTAATATTGAATGTTGTAGTTATGATGCTATTGCTAGAATGCATTTCTTTGTCATTTTTGCAGACCATGTATTGCTATAAAAGAATAGTGTATATAGCCATGAACAATACAATGGCAGTGTTGTATTTTAGTCTCTTCTGCTGAATATTCTCTTTATTTCTCTCTAAAATTGAGACTTTTTTTTTTTCTCTTTTGCAGGCTACATTTACCGACATTCTGAAGAAACTTGGTATTAATCCTTTCCCCCTTTTTTCCCTTGAACACGTAGTTATAGTTATTATACTTTTTCTGACTTGCGACTATAAGATAATGCTACTTTTGGGCCTTTAAGAAGAAATTCTTCTTTTGTACCTACCTATATGCTTCTGTTTTTTGAATCATGAAGTGGCTTGTATTCTCAAACATGAAATTTACAAAAGCTCTTTTCTATTTGTAAGAATTTGACACTTTATGAAAATGAGAAACATTATATCATAACTCAAAATTAAGTGCCTAAGTAAATTGCTTTCACTTTTCAGCCAAACAATTTGATATGGATCTGGCCCCAAGAAAGGCATTTATAAAGCTCATGATTCAGGAAGAGCTGACAAAACTAGCTGATGAAGCGGATGAAGAAAACGAAGACGATGCAGTTAAAGATGAGGCCCTATCTACAGGCCAGAAGGTTGAAGCTTGATTGATGAGTAGTCCTGATTACTTGGTGATAGTTTTGGCTATGTATACTATAACCTTAGTTATGTTGCTTCATCTGTACATTTTGTTGAGTGAAAGTGGCAGTAACATATCCAATATGAAGAGATAAAACTTGTATTTGTCAATTTAGGCTTTGGTCCGCTGCCACTTGTTTATACATAAACAGAATCTGTAGGGTTTGTACTATTGATGAATACTACTGACCAAAGCTACACTAGTCTTAAGAATCTGCCTAGTAAAATAAATATTTTACCTTGTTCATAACTAAGACAACAGTTGGTTGGTAAAGCTTTTTTTTGGTATGCTTTTAAAATGTTCTTATTTTCTAAAAAATTATCTAGGTAGACCCTCTCTCCTTTTAATCTTGTTTTTTTAGCTGCATCTTTTTTTATTGTTGACGCATCTCTTGTGGCAAGATGGCTTGTTCATTAGCAGAACTGCAATTCATGAAGCGCAGGAGTGGTGGTGATGATCCAGTAACTAATCAGTCAATGTTATAAGCATCGATACAATTCAGAAAGAATTAACACAGATTTGTCGTTGTGTGTATGTACTATTGGAACGTAATAAAGGGTTTTATAGAACAGTTAATTATGAAATGTATAACTTGAAAATAGCATTTAACTATTATAGATTATTCATTTTGGAATATCTCGTTGATGTAATATTATGGAGTGGCCTTTTAAAACAGATTTANGCTTGGCAGGACGGAATGTGGCAGCATTTCATGTCCTTTGTATTGCAAGTGGAATTTGAAGAATTCTTAGATGTAATATTGAATGTTGTAGTTATGATGCTATTGCTAGAATGCATTTCTTTGTCATTTTTGCAGACCATGTATTGCTATAAAAGAATAGTGTATATAGCCATGAACAATACAATGGCAGTGTTGTATTTTAGTCTCTTCTGCTGAATATTCTCTTTATTTCTCTCTAAAATTGAGACTTTTTTTTTTTCTCTTTTGCAGGCTACATTTACCGACATTCTGAAGAAACTTGGTATTAATCCTTTCCCCCTTTTTTCCCTTGAACACGTAGTTATAGTTATTATACTTTTTCTGACTTGCGACTATAAGATAATGCTACTTTTGGGCCTTTAAGAAGAAATTCTTCTTTTGTACCTACCTATATGCTTCTGTTTTTTGAATCATGAAGTGGCTTGTATTCTCAAACATGAAATTTACAAAAGCTCTTTTCTATTTGTAAGAATTTGACACTTTATGAAAATGAGAAACATTATATCATAACTCAAAATTAAGTGCCTAAGTAAATTGCTTTCACTTTTCAGCCAAACAATTTGATATGGATCTGGCCCCAAGAAAGGCATTTATAAAGCTCATGATTCAGGAAGAGCTGACAAAACTAGCTGATGAAGCGGATGAAGAAAACGAAGACGATGCAGTTAAAGATGAGGCCCTATCTACAGGCCAGAAGGTTGAAGCTTGATTGATGAGTAGTCCTGAGTACTTGGTGATAGTTTTGGCTATGTATACTATAACCTTAGTTATGTTGCTTCATCTGTACATTTTGTTGAGTGAAAGTGGCAGTAACATATCCAATATGAAGAGATAAAACTTGTATTTGTCAATTTAGGCTTTGGTCCGCTGCCACTTGTTTATACATAAACAGAATCTGTAGGGTTTGTACTATTGATGAATACTACTGACCAAAGCTACACTAGTCTTAAGAATCTGCCTAGTAAAATAAATATTTTACCTTGTTCATAACTAAGACAACAGTTGGTTGGTAAAGCTTTTTTTTGGTATGCTTTTAAAATGTTCTTATTTTCTAAAAAATTATCTAGGTAGACCCTCTCTCCTTTTAATCTTGTTTTTTTAGCTGCATCTTTTTTTATTGTTGACGCATCTCTTGTGGCAAGATGGCTTGTTCATTAGCAGAACTGCAATTCATGAAGCGCAGGAGTGGTGGTGATGATCCAGTAACTAATCAGTCAATGTTATAAGCATCGATACAATTCAGAAAGAATTAACACAGATTTGTCGTTGTGTGTATGTACTATTGGAACGTAATAAAGGGTTTTATAGAACAGTTAATTATGAAATGTATAACTTGAAAATAGCATTTAACTATTATAGATTATTCATTTTGGAATATCTCGTTGATGTAATATTATGGAGTGGCCTTTTAAAACAGATTTAAACTCTTTTTGTAATTTTACTATTATTTATGCATGAAATCGAAAGGGCACAAATAATGAAGCAGAAGATTTTATTATTATTATTATTATTATTATTAGTGGAATGGGTATCGATATAGAAAATAGTATTTTAGAAGATTATTATTATTATTAATGGAATCGGTGTCAATCTAGAAAATAGTATTTTAAAATTAATAGTGTTTTTAAAATAGTGATATTCAACTATTTTATAATTATATTTTAATATAAATATAAAATTAAAAAAAAAAAGGGTTCTATTATTTTAAAACATATTCTTTTTAGAAAATATTTTTTTAGAGTTTTTAATTTATCTTTAAAGTTTTAGAAATTATTTTTTTTTGAGTTTTCAATTTCTCTTTAAAGTTTTTTCAGCTTCTGTTTTATCTGTTATCGCTAGAGTAATTCTCTCGATAAGTTCTTTCCATCCAACTGGTTAGTTTCTTCTTGTAAGTAGATATTTTTTTTTCTTCTCGAGCCTAATTTATTTTCTCTTTGCATATGAACTTTTTCCACTTGTATGTAACCTTAGAGACATCAATATGAGTATGCAAATAAGTGATCATAATGATATGGTTTGATCGTGTTTGTGATGTTTCTATGTGTAGATAAAAAATCCCTTGAGTTCTAAAGTGTTTTGCTATTTTAGAGCATTTTGTGTTGTTTCACCAGGTCAAGAAAGCTAATTTTAGCTTATACATATTGAGTTTTGTTCTAATTGTTTAATTACGTGTGACATTGAGCTTGTGATTATTGATTATTTTGATTTGTATTGATTGGATGATATGTTAAATATGTTACATCTGGTATTATAACGTGTGATATATTAAAGTTGTAATAAATTGTGTTGTGGTATGCTTGGTGATCCTAGATGGCAGAAAACATGAAATAAATTGTGTTGCAGTTGAGTTGAAGGAAGCATGAAAACACTGTTTTAAGAATGTCTCTACGAGATCCTTGAATTAAGTAATCTAACACTACTTGAGTTAAGAACCTGAATTTTCTAAGTATTAAGAGGTCTTTTAAAGGGGAATTAACTTAATAGATGCTAAATTACTCAATCAAAGCTTAAAGAGGAAGTTTAGTATACTGATATATTGTCGGGTGCTACTTTCCCAAAGTCGTGCCACCTTGTTTTCCTGGTCTGAGTCATCTTGAAAAAAATGTGATTCACACTTTGTTAATCGTCGAATCGATCTGAAATTTTGATCGCTCTTCCTAGACATATTCTTCCTATAACAATGTTTTTCATAAGATTCCATTAGTTTAGATTGTTTACATCTTTGACTTTTGTTGTTTGTTTAGTGCATAACTTTTTTCATAGTTACTTAATTGAGTTGATTCTTTTTGCATTACATTCTTGATTCAGTTATATTTAATTTGAATATAAGAACATAATTTTATGAGTTTTGTGGAAGCTGCAATTTTATTTTTAAAATCCCAAACAATTTTTACACGTTTTTAAGTTGTTGTGCAATATACTTAAGAGAGTGTGATATAAAGTATAAAATATGCATGTTGATATATTATGAATGATGAATGAGTTTGGATTAAGGTACAATACCTTTGTATGTTATGGTGAGATGATTTAAGTTTATATGAGAACATGTGATGTGAATATTAGTTTGTTAAACCATGGTATATGAAAGTGATGATGATATAGTGTTTTTCGGGGAGGAAATCCTATCTTGTGTGTAAATCACTAAAATGTGCATTGAGGTAAGGATTGTTCCATCATGTGAAGTGACCATATGCTCTACTAACCATCTATGCTCATGTAGAGGATAATGGTTAGTAGGTGAAAGTGGTAGGAGGTCTTGTCATGAGGAAGGTCTCAGGATTCTTATGACCGTAACAAAGACTAACCTTGTGTGTGGTAGCTTAGTAGATCAATTCGATAAAGTAGTATTACCACCATAAGCGCATGATTTCATGAGTTTGGCTCAAATGCATGTTTTTGGATAAATTGAGTCTAGAAGAATCTGATTTAATGCATGAATGTGTGAAAACTGTGTGATAAAATTTAACATGTTATTAGGTGCTTTGTACATACATACATACATACATACATATATATATGGGATTTCCTAACACGCGTACGCCTGTTTTTCAGTTGGTACATTTTAGCAATGTGTACCGGGTTTTAGTAGACAAAAATACCCTTATATATCATGGATTCTAAGTTTTAAGGTTAAGGGTATTTTAATAATTTTCATTCAAAACTAAAAGAAAAACCCCAAACCCTTACTCACCTCTCTCATTTCTCTCAACCATTTCTCTTTCATCTCTCTCACTCCAACCTTTTCTCTGTCATTCATACCGTGACTTAATTTAAAAATGAAATTTAATAATAATAAGAATGGGAAATATATAACACAGTCCTCCAATCAAAAATCAACATCAACATCATCAATTATTTTGTTATTAAAGTGGAAAACAAATGAATGAGCAGAGCAACAACAACAAATTGCGGTGTCGCGGGTTGTTGTGTGTAGGTGAGGGAGAGTATGGAGATGAGAGAGAAAAAAATTGGATAAGTGAGGAAGGTGGATTAAGATTAGGCAAGTGTTTCTGATTTTTTTTTTCAATTGAGACTACAGTAGGATGACAGAGAAAAGGTTGAAGTGAGAGATGAAAGAGAAAGGGTTGAGAGGAATGAGAGAAGTGAGTAAGGGTTTGGGGTTTCCTTTTTTTTAGTTTTGATAATGAAAATTATTAAAATACCCTTAACCTTAAAACTTAGAATCCATGATATATAAGGGTATTTTTGTCTACTAAAACCCGATACACATTGCTAAAATGTACCAACTGAAAAACAGG